TACAGGCATGCTCCCTCGGCTCCTGCTCGGGCTGCTTTCTTATGCAACACAGGCCCACCTGCCCAGGGGTGGCACCACCCACAGTGAGCTGGGCCCTCCCACATCACTCATCAAGAAGATGCCCTTCAGACATGGTCACAGGCCAGTCCAATAAAGGCAATTACCCGATTGAGGCTCCCTCAACCCAGGTGTGTCAAGTTGACACTAAAGCTATCCAGCACAGAGGGATAGAGCCCCATGAGCCCCTACCCCATCCCTGACAGACTGTTGACAGGGCCACCCTAGTGCAGGCCCAGTGCAGGTGCCCACACCTGTGTGAGCTCACAATTGCAATGGCTGTATGATGCCCAGAGATAGCATTTAGCAATTCTTCTCCCTACCTTCCAGCACTTACTTTCTATCAACTTCTTCTGTGAGGTTTCCTGAGCCTCAGGGGAGGTGGTAGAAACGTCTCATTTAGGATTGAGAATTCAACTACCACTAATTGGTTGGGAATCTGAAAATTCTCCCCAGACTAGTTCAATCAGTGTTTGGGTGGGGGACTTATAGGTGACTTATAGGGACAATCAAGAGTGACAGCCATTGCTCTAAGGCATCCTTTACCATAACACCTAGGTCCAAGAGATGGAAGAGAACCGACTGGCCATGTAACCCAGAGCTGTCCACTAAATGAGCCTACAAGTCCCTAGTTCTCCTCAGCCAGATTCCTCGTCTATTGTACTCTGAGGCCACCTTCAGCCTTCATCATAGCCTCCAGCTCCTCCTCCAGTTTTTCCTCCCACAGTTGCTCCTTTCTTGCTTTTCAAAAGAAATAAAGGCAAACCAGTTGAACTCTTGCAACTTCCCGTATCTGGGCACACCCTTCCTTCCTGCCCTCCCACTGGAAAAAAGGGTTGGCTGGTCCTTGTCTCGCTCTGAACTGTTGAGCAAACAAGGGCTCCTTTGGGCCTTGTTGTCTTCAGTTCCTTGGAGCTTTGTCATTGTCACCTTTCTCTTCCAGCCCTGTCTTCCCTTGGCTTCAGAGACGGCATTCCCGTCTTCTCCCCCTCCTTTACCAACTGTCTGTATTGGGACGAACCACTGGTATTGGCCAGGCGTGGAAAGTCACCCCTCTTTCTAGCTGTTCCCCACGTCACCTCCTGCTCTCTGCTACCTTCTTCTTCCTCTGGGCAGCTCCAGTCTGAACACCTGATTAAGTTGAACAAAATACAGATTGGGTTATGCCATTTCTTCAAACAAGTGTCTGGGTAAGGAACACAGTCCTTTAACGTTAGACCCTACCCTGAAGCTCTGGAACTTTGCTGGCTGCCACACCCCACAGATAATGTTTGCACAAGTCACAGTTGGCTTTTGTGCCCTGCTGTTTGTTCCTGGTCTCTGTGCCCTTGCTCACCTTCACCTGTCTATCTGTATCTACACATCTGCTTACCTAGGTCGTATGGAATTGCCTCCTCTGTGCCTCTGTGGTGTAGCTGGATTCTTCCATAGCACCCACAACCTGTTCCTGCTTATGAAGAGCTAGGCAGTGTTACGGCCGCCTAGATGATCTTGGTGTATTTTCAATTTCCGTGTTATCTCCCAAGCACACAGAGGTTCCCCCCATCTCCTCTGAGTAGGGTTATGTTGTAAGACACATATACTGGGAAACAGAACAAGTCTAGACAAAAGTGTAATTTCATTATAGCTGTGTCATTACTTTTCTTTCCTTCCTCTTTTCTGTCCTTCATTCCTGAATTTCATGGACTTGAGTAAAATTGTAACCAGTGCTATACAGTCTCTCAAGAAGGCAAAAGTTAATATGCATGGGAAAAATAATGCCTGTTATAAAATTAGGTGTTGTCAATAATTGAGTAACTCAATTAGTATCCCCCAATATCCTATCATCCCGGTAAAGAAAACTTAAGACTGTGATGAATACTGAGTGTTTAGCTTCAAACAATAACTTAGGGCTGGCTAATTGGAGGTGCTGAAGACTCCCCTGTACTTCTGACAAGGATGGTAACCACTGGTCACATTGGCTATTAAAGTTCAGATATTTTAAAATTTTATAAAGTTAAAATTTCCATTTCTTAGCTGACCTAGACACGTTTCAAGTGCTCAGTGGTTACATGCTGGGGCTGTACTGAAGAACACAGACTTTTCATCAATTCCAACATTTGTGTCCTTGTAGAAAGTTCTGCTGGATGATACCACTTGAGACATGTCATCTAGGAACAGCAGTCTGTGATAGTCTCCCAGACCAAGGGCAAAGGTGGAACGTTTAAAGACAAAGGACCTTTGGAAAAGGGCTTTATATGACGTGTCAAGTCCTGGTTCGTGGGTTTAGAGTGGGTTGGCAGTGGCATTGGCTAGGTGAGCTGGTTGCTGACTCTGTTGATGCCCAAAAGTTTTGGAGAAGCATTTTTTCTTTCTTTTCCTTGGCCCTTACCACTTGCTACTTGACACACCCTCCAGAAGGGGGCAGCACAGTGAGCAAATCCAAATGGGTCTGTTGCAGGCAAAACACCTCTAGGCACATCTCATCCTCCTGGGTGCTTGTATCTGGTGGCTCCTCCTAGGAAACCAGCCAGTGCTGATTTGTACTAATGAGAGATTGGTTTGTAGCCCCCTGTCAGCAGTCCATGCATTATAACTTTTCCTTTTTCACAAGTCTTTTTTATTGTTCTCTAAAGGCCCAGAAGGAGCCTCTTGAGGGACGCCAGCCAGCGTCCTGTGCTTCAGGGTTGACCCAGGACAAGCACAGTGCTATGGGAAAGTGTCCCTAAGGACATGTGAAAGGCAGGGGTTACACACCTGGGAAATCGGCTCCTCCCTGAGTTAAAATCCAGGGAATCCCAGCTCTTGCTTTGTTGTGACCTATTGATTCCCAACACCATTTTTCATCTTCTAGGTGTGTTCTATTTTTCTTTTAGTGGCTATCTTAACTTCTTGGGCAAAAATTAGGATACTACAGTAATAAATAAGCTGGATTTAGGTAGGTTGTGAGAAGGCTAGACAAGCTTGGCTTTAAGGAAGGGATTGAGATGTTGGGCTTAAAAATACTGTTTTTACGGTTGAGGAAATTGAGGTGCATACAGGATCGCTGTCTTGCCCACAGTCACACAGCCAGTTGGTAGCGAGGCAGGGATTCGATAGTGTTTGGGGCACCAGACCTGCTGTGCTTGCACGTGCACTCCAGCTCTGTCCACATTTGTTTGGTTGCAGATCCTTGTTTCATGGATCCTGTGGAAGGTGAATGCCAAGATTACATCCTGAAATGGTACTACAACGAGGAGGAACGAGCTTGCCAACCATTCTGGTTTGGGAACTGCAGAGACGATGCCAGCTGGTTTGGAACCAGAGAAGAGTGTGAAGCTCGATGTGCCCCTAGTTAAGTTGAGCCTTGTAACTGGTGCCCCTCTTTTAACAGATGATGAGAATGGCATTAACCTGCCAAGCCCACTTCACAGTGGCTCTCGTGTTCCTCACCTCTCCATGGTTTCTTGCCAGTGAAGACTTGGGCTAGATAATTTGTAATTGAGAAGGACTAAATTCGAATTGTTAAGAAGAGTAATTGAAATTTTCCTGACTATTGTTTAAATGAATTGTTCTATCACATTATTTAAAAATGCTAGGACCTACATAAACTAAAGAAAGATCAGTGTAGTAGTAGCAGAACTTATCTAGAAATTAGTCAAAAATTGCCTGGTCTCCTGCTAAAATATTAGTCAAAGAAAAGCAAAATCTAATGTGAAATTCATCCTTGCTACCTAATGTAAATGAATGAATGAGTAAAGACATTCTTTATTAAATCATTGGTATGAGACTGCATGTGGTTTCCTTCTAGACACTGTGACATAGTAGTTGATGAGTGGGGACAGAAGTTCTTTTTTGTGAGACCAGTCCTCTGCCATCACTGGCACCAGTGAACATACTGACTCACCAGTTAAGGCTGGTGTGGTCAGTGCAGCGATGAAATGAAACGCTTAGTTTTGCTGTATTTGTTGCTTTTGCATCACTGTGAGCAAAATATCTGAGGGTACAAGTAAAGGGAGGAAGGATTTGTTTTGACTCATGGTTTCAGAGATTTTAGTTCATAGTCTTTGTCTCTGTTGATCCTGAGTCCATGGTGAGGCAGAGCATCATGGTACAGAGGCCTGTGCAGGACACTCTTCACCTTGTAATAGACAGGAGGGAGGGAGGGAACAAGGGACTGGGGACCCAGTATAACCTTCAGAGTCATGCCCCCAGGGACCTCCACTGAGGTCCCACCTCTTAGTGGTTCCAGAGCTGTCAGTCTGGGGATCAAGCATTCCACACATGGGCATGCTCGGGGTCATTTCATGTTTAAACACTAACCATCAATGGATGAGATATTTTGTGGTATAAACAGTGAGGACAGGGCCTAGAGAGATGGATCCAGGGATGGGTCATCGGTTAAGAGTGCTTGCATAAAACCTGAGTTCTGCTCCCCACATCCATGTCAGGCAGCTCACAACCCCCTGTAACTCTAGCTCCAGCGGATCTGACAGCTTCTTCTGGCCTCTGTGGGCACTGCACTCATGTGCACATACCCACAGTCACTCCTACAATACACAGAAATAAAAATTAATTAGTTTAATAGAATAATTGTGGTTCTTTTTGGCAACTCTTACCCCATCTCATGACTTGGATCTCCAGGCTTCTGAACTCATCCCTAGCTTCCATGCAGAACTGGGAACTGCCTGGATGGGCGTTCTAGGAAACTTGGGGTTTCTGGCTTGGGGGACTCTGCAAGATGTTATATTATTCATCTTGAGCTTCCCTAACAAAATCTCACAGACTTGGCACCTTAAGCAACAGAAACTTAATTTCTGACCTCTGGAGGCTAGGAATCTAAGATCAGTGTGCCAGCGTATTTGGTTTCCTCGGTGAAGGCTTTATTCCTGGCTTTCCGATGGTCACTTTCTTGTGTACTCACATGGCCTCACTTGGTCTTTCCTTGGTATGTGCTCCTGGAGGGAGGGAGGGAGGGAGGGAGGGAGGGAAGAGGGTGGGAAAGAGAGAGCTCAAACTCTCTGTTGTCTTATAAGCAAACCAACCCTATTTTAATAGGGCCTCACCTTTCTGATTCTTTAAAGGCTTTATATCCAAATATAGTCAGGTCTGGGATTAGTGCTTTGTTATGTGAATTTGGAGGAGACATAAACATACCAGATCATAGATATCTGATGACTACATGACTCTCCCCACCCATCCCCAGGACAGAGTGGAGTTTACTCTGTGGCAAGTTTTTGTATCAGCAACTGGGCTTTTTAGATTTATTTATGTTCCTTCACAGTCTGATGACATTGCAGAGGAGATGAGAACCAGCTTTGTACAGGGTGTTCAAAGAAACAAAATTTTATTCTATTTTTATGACAATTATTTTTGTCTGATCACAGAAGGATGTCTCTGTTCACTGCAGTAAATCTGTATAGCATAGAAAGACACATGTAAGAATTGAATATCACCGATCATCTTTCCTTTCAACCATTTGGGCATAACCCAGGTGTATTAGTCAGGGTTCTCCAAAGAAACAGAACTGGTATAATGAATATATATGTATAGAGATTTATCAGCTTAGCTCACAGGATAGGGTCCGAGTAGTCCAACAATGGCTGCACCACACTGGAGAAGCTGAGAATCCGTAGTCGCTCAGTCCACGAGGCTGGATGTCTCAGTAGTCCCAATCTGGTGCTGAAGGTCTGATGAATTCCAGATCAGCTAGTCTTCTGTCTACAGCAGCAAGACGAACTCACCAGCAAGAGAGAACGCAAGCAGCAAGAAGCCTGGCGTTCTCCTCGGCCTTGGCCTTTTATACCAGCTGCCATCAGAAGGTAACGCCCACATTTAGGGTGTGTCTTCCAGCTTCAGATGATCCAATCAAGAAGATCTCTTTCATTTCAGTTAATCCCAGATCTGGGCAAGTTTACACCCAGGATAAGCTATCACAAATCCACCCCTTGTCAACTTGACACCCAATAGCATCTCTCTGTGTCATACTTAATTTTCAAATGAAAACAATGTTGAGGTCATAATTTCACCTAACATGATATGACTATCCCATCATACAATGACCAATGCATTATATATCTTAGACTAGGTGATAAGGTCTTTGAGGAATGCTTAGTCCTTTAGTGTCTCATAACCCAATATAATCATATAGGTTCACAACACTTAACCGCTTAACAGTTATCTCAATTACACATTCAAAAGAGAATAACTCAAGTATATGCTTAACATATGTGTATACATGCATAAGCCTATTCTTAACCAAATAGGACAAAAATACTCATGTCAATTATAATCCACGTTTCTGCAACTGGTCACGTGGCCTGAGTTGGTATTTGTAACTACTGCCTCTACTACCCATTCTGTATTTCCTCCTCCATCATCAAGCACCTCTGCAGGTCTTGGCTCTTTCCCTGGCTCATCCCTGAAGGGTCTGGGCCATTTGTTGTCCTGTTTGGATTGGGTTGTTGCAGTTTCCCATTGACCTTAATCACAGGACATGGTAACACCAAAAGTCGCTCTAAGGAATCTCCTGCCTTCCAGATATAACCTTCATTACCGCCATTGTGGAGAACCAGTCCAAATTCCCCCTGGTAGTCTGGGTCAATCACCCCTCCTAATACTGTTATTCCTTTCTTAGCCTGCTGACTTAAGGGCATCAGAAGTCCAGTGCCCAGGGGGAAGTCTTAGCTTCCAGTTCAATGGAATGTTTGTTGTGTCCTGTGGCAGAAGCACTCCCTCCTCTGGAACAAAACATCCAAGCCAGCAGAGTGCAAAGTTGAGGGTACAGGAAGAAAAAATTTTTGTAGTGAGTCACCAGGGGTTATAGTGAGTGGAATCATTCCTACTTCCTGGACCCATGAATCCTGGCTATAGGAGAAACTGTACCATATGTTGGATGCTGATTCAAAGCATACACTGCCTTCTGGAGGACCCTGCCCCAGCCCTCCAGGCTATTGCCACCTAATTGGCACTGTAACTGTGTCTTTAAGAGACCATTCCATTGTTCTATCAAGCCAGCTGCTTCAGGATGGTGGGGAACATGGTAAGACCAGTGGATTCCATGACCATGGGCCCACTGTCACACTTCTTTGGCTGTGAAATGAGTTCCCAGGTCAGAAGCAATGCTGTGCGGAATACCATGACGGTGGATAAGGCATTCTGTAAGTCCCTGGATGGTAGTTTTGGTGTAGGGAAGGCAAATCCATAACCAGAATAAGTGTGTCTATTCCTGTAAGGACAAAACGCTGTCCCCTCCAAGGTGGAAGTGGTCCAATGTAGTCAACCTGCCACCAGGTTGCAGGCTGGTCGCCACAGGGAACAGTGCCATATCGGGGGCTTAGTGTTGGTCTCTGCTGTTGGTAGATCTGGCACTCCGCAGCAGCTGTAGCCAGGTCAGCTTTTGTGAGTGGGAGTCCATGCTGTCGAGCCCATGCATAACCTCCATCTCTGCCACCATGGCCACTTTGTTCTTGGGCCCATTGAGCAATGACATGGATAGCTGAAGAAAGAGGCTGACAATCCACAGAGCGGGTCATCCGATCTACTTGATTATTGAACTCATCTTCTGCTGAAGCCACCTTTTGATGAGCATTTACATGAGACACAAGTATGTTCACATCCTTTGCCCATTTGCAGAGATCTATCCATATCTTCCCCAAATGTCTTTCTCATCAATCGTGCTCCTTCCAAGTCCCTGACCATCCAGGCAAACCATTGGCTACAGCCCATGAATCAGTATATAATCACACTTCTGGCCATTTCTCCTTCCAAACAAAATGCACGACCATGAGCACTGCCTGAAGTTGCCCACTGTGAAGACTTTCCTTCCCCAGTGTCCTTCAGGGTTGTTCCAGAAATTGGCTATAATGCCGCAGCTGTCCACTTCTGAGTAGTGCCTGCATAGAACCATCTGTAAACCAAGCCCTAGTCTTCCCTACCTCAGTCAACCAATCATAGCCATGAAGCCATAGGTGCATGCTTGAGAACAGGAGGCGTCGTAACAGGAGTAGGAACCATAGGCATTTGGGCAACTTCTTCATGTAACTTGCTTGTGCCCTCCGGGCCTGCTCGAGCCCGATCATGTACATACCACTTCCATTTGATAATGGATTATTGCTGTGCAAGTCCTACTTTATGACTAGGGGTGTTATAACACCCACCTCATGATGGGCAGCTTCACTCACATGGTGACTTGGTGACTCATTGTCAAACGTTCAGTTTCCACTAAGGCCCAATAGCAGGCTAAGAGCTGTCTCTCAAAGGGAGAATAGTTGTCCGCAGATGAAAGCAAAGCCTTACTCCAAAATCCCGATGGCCTCCGCTGTGATTCCCCTATGGGGGCCTGCCAGAGACTCCAAACAGCATCTTTATCTGCCACTGATACCTCAAGCACCATCGGATCTGCTGGATCATATGGCCCAAGGGGCAGAGCAGCTTAGACAGCAGCCTGGACCCGTTGAAGGGCCCTTTCCTGTTCCAGGCCCCACTCAAAGGTAGTTGCCTCCCGAGTCACTTGATATATGGGTCGTACTAATACACCCAGATGAGGAATGTGATGCCTCCAGAATCCAAACAGGCCCACCAAGC